GGGGGTGGGGGGAAGGGTCTCATCTCTGAGCACTCCCTGTGGCTTGATCGCTCCCAGTTCAGCTCCCTCCCCGCCTCCAGCTTCTGGCTCGTTTAATCTCTCTTCTCTCAGAAGCTATCCAAACAACCCTGCCTGATTGATTTGTTCATTAGCATGACAAAGAGGCCCATCCCCAAATGGGTTTAGACCCATCAGAGTGGCTCAGGGCAACCAGTTGGACAGGGTGGAACTACACCCCTGTGGGTGTCCAAAGCTGTAACTCTATGGAAGCAAAGCACCTCATCTTTTTTGGACAGCTGGTGGATTCGAACCCTTGACCATAGAGCTAGCAGCCCAATGCACAGCTCCCTACTGCAGGTATAAAGGATAAGCCTCATCAGTCAATCCACAGCACAGCTGAATGTAATTCTTAACTGACACCAGACCCCCCCCCACCACCCCGCCCACATTCTCTCACAAACAAGACCGAATCAGAGGCAGCTTTGAAAGGAAAGGACTTGCTTGAACAATCAACTGAGTGGACACAGCTGTTCACGCGGATTCATTCGTGTTCCAAGCTTTCTCACTCAGCGCCTTGCAGTCAGAGGCCCCCACCCCCACCACCTGTCAGGAGCCTCGATGGCCCTTTCTGCTTCCTAAGCAGAAGAGTGAGCGGGTGCCAAGGGAAAGAAGCGTGCTCAAAGGGACAGGTGGTTGCCTGCACTGCCCCGCCACTGCTGTCACTATGCCCAGAGGGAGAATATGCCAGAACGCTCCCTCCAGCCCCTGCCGCCTCCGCTGTCCCTCTGTGACCTTGCCTGAGTCTCCTCCTCTCCCATCAGGGCAGCAGTGAGCAACGCAGGCATGAGGGGCTACGGACGTGCTGTTAACTGCAGCATGTGTGGTTAGCACACACCGCGGGAGAAAGGTGAGGCTTTCTCCTGTAATGTCTTGAAAAAGCAAAACAAGTCACTGCTATTAAATTCTCTCGACTCAGAGACCCTATAGGACAGTGTAGAACTGCTCTTGTGAGGGTTTGTGTTTTTACGAAGTCATTTTATTGTGCCCCTGTGCGTTTGAGAGACT